ATATATATATATATATATACGGAAGGATCCTGGTACCATATAGCACAGACAGGTTAGGAGCTGCATATAAGAGGGAAGGCTGTGACTAATTAAAAAGAAAAGAAAATAATATATATATATATATATATATACTAGCACCGTACTCAAAATGTATACATGTAAATCTTAAATGTAATTCAAATTCTGCTTAAATTGATCAATTTCCTTAATATAATGAGCGTAATTTTGAGACGAATTAGCCATCCCTTGTTGTGAGTAACCATCAGCTGATTTTCTGAAGCAGGGTTCTGGTGCACTGATTGAAGAGGCGATTATGTAGTCAGCTGTTTAATTTATTAAGTTTCGCAAGTACACAGAAAGGTTAGCTATCATGGAAACAGGGGGATGGTGAAAGAAACCTACCATGAAGAACCTCAGAGATCGATTACGGTGTTCATTTCCATGTTGCTTAGGTTCGAGTTTCCATGCTACTTGGGTTTAATTTCCTTGTTACTCAGAGTTTGATTTTTATGTTAGGTTTAATTTCCATGGTACTTGGGTTTAGTTTTCAGGCTACTTGGGTTTGATAGGTTCCATGCTATTATTTTTATTTTCCATGCTACTTAGCTTTAATTTCAATATTATTTAGGTTTAGTTTTCATGAAATTTGGTTTCATTATAATATATATATATATATATATATATATATATTATATATATATATATGTATATATATATATATATATATTATATATATATATATATATATAATATATATATTATATATATATATATATACATAATACATATGTGTGGTGTGTAAAGCCTATAAATACAAAGGGAAAGACCAATTTATGCTGACATCATCATTGTTAATGAAACCCGGCCAGCTTAATGCTTATCATTATCAGCAATAAAAATGCATCGCAGCCTCCAATGAAACACTAAAACAGAACAATGATGTCAAGATATAAATATATAAAGAAATAAATGAAATAAAAAGGGGATGAGATTATTTGATAAATCATGATGGATTGAGGCTATCTAGAGAGAGAGAGAGAGAGAGAGAGAGAGAGAGAGAGAGAGAGAGAGAGAGAGAGAGAGAGAGAGAGAGAAGAGAGAGAGAGAGAGAGAGGAATAGAGAGGAGGTAGCATTTCAAAGCGATTCCTATATTCATCAGTTATGTCATATAGTAAATAATTCAATATGTTGTTTGCAAGTTGTAGTAACCTAACCGTAATAATTAAAAAAATATATATATATGTACATATGGATACATACATGCATACATACATATATATATATATATATATATATATATATAATATTTATTTATTACGTAAAAAAAATGTAAATGCTTCTAAAAGTACATGAAACATTTGGTATAATCATATGTTTCAGAAATCATCCTTTGATCTTAAAAGACAATACTAAACGCTAGCGAGTTTTATATTCTCCAAAATTATTAGTTCTCTTAACGCCCTCAAGAAAAAAATATTTAGCCACATCTTGAGTTTACCGAAGAATGTGCAAAGTAGATCCTCAATGAAAGATTCTGTTGTGCATGATGCTTAATCAATTGCATCTTTTGTCATTTTATAAGATTCAAATTACAGTCCTTGTTATGAAACGACTTATTAGAGAAGAGAGAGAGAGAGAGAGAGAGAGAGAGAGAGAGAGAGAGAGAGAGAGAGAGAGAGAGAGAGAGAGAGAGAGAGAGAGAGAGAGAGAGAGAGAGACGGGGTCCTCGAGAGAGAGAGAGAGAGAGAGAGAGAGAGAGAGAGAGAGAGAGAGAGAGAGAGAGAGAGAGAGAGAGAGAGAGAGAGAGAGAGAGAGAGAGAGAGAGAGACATACGTGTTAACCCCTTCTCTATTGAGCGCCCCTAAAATATGTAAACATTGCGCTCCCGCGGCACACAGACCTCACTACTCCATCTTCCGTGATGTGGAACCAGTGCATATTTTATTGTTGCGACCAAACTAATACTGATGAACACACAAACCCCATCTGGTGTCAATAATGAAAAGGAGAAGTAAAATAATTCAGTATATACTATATGTTTCGATGTTTTATGCTAACGTCCTATTAGTAACCTGTTGGACACTGGCTTGGAAAAAAGGAAAAAAAAAACAAAAAATGCAGAGAAATATGTGATAGATATGGTGGGTCAAAAGCATTTGTCACTGATACTGTGTCTTCGCTAATTTTCCACTCCTCCTTTCCTTCACCACTCGTATCAACATCACTAATTTTCCATGGGTCGTAGTCAGCGCCACTGTTGGCCACTGACATATCGGACATTCGCCCATATTCAGAGACACTATATCCTTGGCAGTGAGATAAGCTTTTTCATATTGAAATAATAGCAATAAAGACTGCTCATAGATAGATAAGAAGCATGCCATTGACGACAGTGTCATGACGTATCTTATGACGTCACACATCGTCGGAACTACATCCCTGGTATGTTGTAAATCCAGAGAAGTGTTGCCATCGCGACATCCTCAAGAAACACAGTTA